TAAAGGATGTAAAACCACGGAGGGAGTTCTGGCCAGTCACTCCACTGTGTCTGCTATGCTAGATCCACTCATGCAAAAAGAGCCAGAGGCACAGACAATGCAGTGATGACTCTGCTTAATACAGTTACGAAACCGGTAATACATCCTAAAATCAATTAATTAATCTTGTTCTCTACCATCAGACCCACTTAGCATTACTTCTTCATCCAGCTAGTCACCAGTCTCCAATGTCATCCACCTTTCATTCCTGTCCAATGTCTTTCTAATGAGCACAACGACACCACGCGGATCATACATGTAACATACTCGAAAACTCACCAAAATTTGCAAACATGTCAGAACCGGTGAAAAATTTCGTATTTTATCGGTTTCGCGCATGGGCGTGGCAAAATGACTCGCTAGCGCCACCTAGAAAATTGGAAAAAATTAGCCCCTCGTTCACGTTCAACCTACATGCATGACATTTTCTGGGGACATGTATCATATCAAGACGCACAAAAAAGCCTCAAGAACCCATACCCTAAAGTCAACAGGAAGTCGGCCATTTTGAATTTTACGTCAAATTTTGGATGATTTACACACTTCGTACTTTAACGAACTCCTCCTAGGGACTTAGTCCGACCGACTTCAAAGTTCTGTTGTGCCTTCTAAAGGCATTGAAGATGAAAAGTTGTGCTATTTGCGAGTTTTCGTCAATGGGCGTGTCCGTGGCGTGGCGTCAAAGATCAAGTCTTCGCCATGACACAGGAAGTTGTTGTAACTTCAGTGTATATGCTCACATCTGCACCAAACTGTACATGTAGGATGAGAGTCCCGCCCTGAACACATGTACATGCTGACATTCACCCACAGTCATAGCGCCACCTGTACGTGTATCTTGTCCAGACGCACAAAAAAGCCTCTTGGAGCGCTGCCCTAAAATCAACAGGAAGTCGGCCATTTTGAATTTTACGTCAAATTTTGGATGATTTACACATTTCGTACTTTAACGAACTCCTCCTAGGGATTTAGTCCGACCGACTTCAAATTTCTGCTTGTTGTAATTTCAGTGTACATGCTCACATCTGAACCAAACTTTACGTGCTTGATAACTCTCCCACCCCGCTATGGAGGACCGATCCTGACACAGTCAGAAATAAATACAGAAATAAATAAATGCTCAATAAATAAATAAGCATCCAATTAAATACACAAAAAAATAAAGTAAATAAATAAATGTAGGTAGTAATTAAATTATACAAGGAGACATATATGTATATATTTTAATTAGTGCCTTTAATACGCCTTTAATAGTGCCTTTAATAGTATTATTATATATAATATAATAATAATACCTTTACTTATTCACCTTTGTTATAATTACCTTATTTGTTTATTCAACTTTATTTATTACTAATTTTTTAAATGTATTTATTTATGTGTGTGTTTTAATATTTTTGTCTGTTTTATTCTTCCTTTGTATTTTTTTACCTTATTTATTTTCACCCATGGCATTTATTTCTGCCTGTCCTTTTTAAATTTCTGTATGCATTTCTGCCTCATTATGCAAATGAGGAGGGGCTGTGTCTCAAGGGGTCATCTTCTCTGCTATTGGTGGACCAGTCAGACAGGAGAGCTCCTACTCTGCCTGCAGACATCAACGATCTTGCCCCTCACACAGTCAGATGGCTTCCTTCAGTGCGCTGAGGTGTTTAACAACTCTGAAGACAATACTACCAGCAATGTCTTCCTTCTCTTTTCACGTAGACGCTCCGACAGACAGTGCTTTCAGTTTGCTGCATGCATGGACACAGAACTGCGGTATAGAGAGAAGCACACGGTCAGCTGGCTGCAGCTAAATCTGGAGTGCACTCGTATTCAATTCTGTATGGTAAATTCAGTTTTAACGGAGCAGAGCGAGCTGACAGGCAGAGTTAGAGACTTTTTCTGTCCGTTTCTCTCTTTACAAAGACGCATGTTGCAGTCAGAGTCTTCTCTGAGATGCGAGCACGACATACAACACAATTTATCAAATTACACAACGGATATACAGTATGAAAATAAGATTGATTGGATTATACTCACAGGAAGTATAAAACCTGTTACATGTGTCTATTAAAAGTAAAGTAACACAAAAATGTCAGGGAAATTACTTTACTTAGATTTAAGTACTGCAGTTGTACATTTGAAATACCTTCCTACCTTTCTGATAGGAAGCCTTCTTGAGGTGGTATAAAACATTTCTTCTTATATTCTGATTTGAGTTGTGGACAACTATGACCACATGAATTTAAAAAATTTAACATTTCACTGCCCAAGTCAGCTATAACACAAGTCTTGTTCATCAGACTACATGCTGTACAGTATTTGTGGACAGATTTTGTCCCAGGATTTATTATGCATTTCTTCTTCTTCGTTGTATGATTTAGAATAATAAGGTGAGAAATGGGTCTGTTCTGAGTTCATCCTGCACTGCAGCAGCTAATAAAGTCCATTTAATCCCAAAAACGCTTTTCTTTTAGGCAGGCTGGAGCAGAAAACAACTCACCTATCTCAAGTTGTACAGTAATGTCACATGTGTATGAAGGTGGATCAAACAAGCTAATCTTAAATGTCAAAGTAGAGAGGAGCCTAGTAGGCCTATTTATTTTCATTCATTACACAATATGAATAAGCTATGCAGACAGTTGTAAAGAAAGAACATCTTTTTCTTCTGTTCTCTACTTGTTATAGTTACACAGTATTAGGGGTGTGGGCTGTATTAAAAGTATCCACTGTTCTCCCATGCTCTAACACACAGTAACGATGAAATGTGTGCTGTTCTCACATTCTTCCTCTGTATGTACACATAAACAACAAGGCAGGGAAATATAAAAGGAATTTATTTTATTGTTTGGGTACATTATTGTTCAGTGCACATGCTCACATCTGAAATAAACTTTACGTGCTTGATAACTGTCCCACCCCGCAGACATCTACACACCAATACCGATTTATATTCATAGCGGCAAGTGCTATGTAGCTCCACATAGGGGACACAGGAAGTGACATATAACACCTTCATGCGGTGTCGGAACCGCGTAACAAATTCACAGCCGCACCGGCAGAGCTCCAGAATGTGCAACTCGGCCGGCTCACACGCGGACGCGCTACAAGTGCGAGGGCCCGCCCAACGCTGCTTGCAGCTTTAATTAGAGTTAGATTTCTACACACCAAGCTTCCTTGAATGAGGTTACTTATTAAATGTTGCATTTAATAAGTAACCATATTGTTTGGTTACTTGATGTTAGTATAGAGGCTGCTGAGGTTAGCGTAGAGGCTGCTGGGATCAGCAATGGCTCCAGCTGAAGAAGAGGGAGCTTCCACTTTGTAGTACTTCACTTCATCACCTTCATCATCACTCCAAACCTGGAAGGAAAGAGAAGAACATTTCATTTGAAGCTCGCTTTTAGTTTTGGACCACAGAGACTGTCTGCCTGACTGACATCAGAATCATAATAAATATATATCAACTTTAATTATAAAATAGATTCTTCAATCACTAACATCACCACCACAAACAATCAGGCAGCTTACCTGGGCTTTGCTTTTGTATCTGATGGAGGCGTAGGAAACACAGTCTTTAGGATCAGCCTGCACAAAGAAAACAAAATGGCTGCTCAGTAACAGTTCATACTGACTCAATCTAACACCTATTTAATCTCTGTTTAAACTCTACTGGCATCATAGTTCCTTCCTCTTCTCTCTTGCAGGAGCAAAAAAGATTCAGGAGTCAAAAATTCAATAAGCAAACATAACCATGAGTGTAACTGTGTACTGTTTGCAGGGGTAGGCGGTAATCTGGCCTGGTAGGCCGGCGCATCTTTGGGGCCGGTGTAATTAAGATTTTTAATTTATATAACAGCCATTGGGTAAATTTCTACACTGTCCAATCACATCTCTTACTATTCTCTCTTACTCTTACTACTACTCTGTTTCTTGCGTTGAAGGAAAAAAAAAGAAAATATATAGGCCTATATATATCTTGAGATGGAAGCTGCCAAATGTGCGAAAATAACCGATATGTTTGTGCTGCAGCTTCAACATCAGGTAGTGCAGGCTCAGGCACTTGAAAGAGTGAAGTGACAAAGACACTGTGACAGGGCCGAGGGACAGAGCAGGAGGAGAGTGGAGGTGAAGCGGTAAGCATGGAGTAGCAGGGAGGGAGCAGGGAGGTAGGGTCATAGTGTCATTTACACTGAGGACGTGACTTTTTGAAATGACTGATGTTGTCCCTGTCACTTTTTGAAAGCATTTGTAAAATATTTTCTAAGAAGCAGCTTACAGTAAGAAATACCCTTGGGTAGGGTGTGTGCCATGCAGTAGCGACAATGATGATAATTACTTCAATTAAGGTCAATGATTATAAGATAATCATAACGCTATCATAAAGTGAGATCATCACCTAGGCTACTGCTGGTGATCACTCACTGTCAACCAGCGCAGCATAAACTATTTGACATTGTATAGTTTCTTAATGCTGTCTTAACTTGACTAACTGTCCTAATGGCTGAGGTGAGGTTAATTTTGTCAGCATTGCGTTGGCTAATCCCACGCTTCTGTGAAAATGACTTGTAGGCTACCCCGATTTTTTGTCCCAGTCCAGCCCTGACTGACTGTAGGATGTGATCTAACCATGTCCTGACTGACGGCCCAGACTGAGTCACTACAGAGTTTAAGCTCAGTCCCTGCAAAATACAGGTTAGTTCCTGATGCCAAGATATAACACAAGCAACAACTTTGCAAAGCAATGCAACAAATCTGTGCACATAAAGAAGAAGAATTTTAAGGATGACTGGAGAAACATCTTGAACATCTGTGAATGTAATCCAATACAACAGTCCCACAACAAATGCTACCAATATAAGTCTTGGTTGATTTCACACTGAGTCAAAGAGGAGCTGACATAATGAAGTACCATTAGTAATGTTAATGAGCTTTAGTAACGTTTTAATTTTAGTGTGTGTTTCATGTGTCCTTACCTGGAAACCTAAACACCAGCATCAGAAATAAAGACATTATAATCCATCTGAATTCAACCATCGTGCTTCACTGTCAAAGTCTCTAACGTGCTGCTTTTTAAAAGTAATACAGCATCTACTTCCTGTGATTAGGAAGGAGTCACTTCCTCAAACTGACTTCAGTCTGTGTTTTCTCTCCTCTGTTGGCGGTTGAATTTACGTGTTAAATTAGCTTTTATTGTCACTGAATTTCAGAGGCTGTTTGTGGTGTTGTACTTACTCACTTACTTTATATACAGCAAAGTCAGTATTTTTTTTCAGGCACAGAACTACAGAGTTAATAGCAAATAACAAAAAACACAATTTACAAAATTACAATTGTATAAATATTTGATTTTAAAACTCACAATGTTTCCATATATCTGTGTTTTGTTCCCTGAAAAGATAAAAAAAAGGGTAAAGTTTAGTTTCCACAATAAAAATCCAGATATATCAAAACTCTGTGGATGATCTCACCTTTAGTTTTTTTCCATCTGAAAACAAGCACACCAATTATTAAGAGAGCTGCAACACCCACAGACACAATGATGAGCCACCACCAACCTGAAAAGAGAACTTAGAAGTGTTATATATATAATATAGTTTGATGATCAGATGTCTGTTTTTGTCTAATATCTAAATTAACAAAGTGCATTTTTTAATGTCCATTTATTTCTTGTTGTTAATGTTGACTTAATTGTAGTTGTTGTTGCATCTTCACCTTAACGAATATAATAACAAAATGTAACAAAGAATGATGTGATAATAAAACCTGAAAGCTAAACAATTAGCTTCTGTAATTATCTACATCAGTTTGAAGTGATTTTAAACAGCTCAGCATGTCCTCACCTGGTTTCTCACCTGAGGACTGAGGGCTGAAGGGAAACAGCTGCACTTTTTTAGTGTAACCATCAGTCACGTTACATTTAAACAACTCAGGATGCTTCGACTTCTGATTAAAGTCAGATGTTGTAAATGTCACAGTGGCTGAACAGGAATGCTGTGATCTCCTCATGTCAGTGAGATCATTCTTATTACCCTCATACAGCCACTCCACTGTGTGACTACAGTGTTCATCTGTCAACACAGAGCAGTTTAACGTCACCTTATCAGCGTCCTGATGTTCAGTCACTGGTGAAGATGGAGATATTGTGAGAGAAAGACAACAAGAGTAAAGTTAACTTCATCACTGTGATCATAATTATTGTAATGTTTCAGTATATTGTTCTAACAAGACAGTTTGAGCTGAAAACATTATGATGGAAATACTCACTGTTAACAACAGACAGATGAACATGAGAGTCTGGACCTTGTTGTTTTCCTTCTTTATGTGTGAACTGTCTGCAGGAGTAACGACCAACATCCTCGACTGTGACCTTCTTTATAACCAGAGAACAGTTCTCTGTAACACTCAGTCTGTCTGATTTAGCTTTGGCATCGTTGTGAATCTGCCCAAATTCAAACAGCTCTACTGCTGCTATGTTTATTGAAACAGTGAAGATCCATGTAGTATATTCACATTTTTTCTGATCGTCTATCACATTTTCACAAGGCAAAGTGACTTCATCTCCAACTCTGACAGTGAAGGATGATTGTCGCTCAGTTGTTGCTCTTACTAAGATAAAGAGAGAGAAATGTGCTAAATAAACAGAAACATGAAAATGACTGTTATGTTCAGAGTTAGTGTGAAAATTATTATAGATACAACAGAAGTTTGTAAATGTGTCTCGTTTTTGGTTTAAACTGATCATATTTAACAAAAAACAAAACATGGCAGTAGTCGAAATTTTAACGTCACGTTTCAAAACAAAAAAGTTAAAAGAAGAATATATATTAAAGAAACATTAGTATTGTTATCCCCGCGACCCTGTTTGCAGGATAAGCGGTTGATGATGGATGGATGGATGGATAGTATTGTTATCGCAGTACAGTAAGTGTTACATATTTATTGTGTGTATATTGTATCCTTACCTGGAAACCGAAACACCAGCATCAGAAATAAAGACATTATAATCCATCTGAATTCAACCATCGTGCTTCTCTCTTGGTCTCACGCTCTCAACTGTCAAAGTCTCTAACGTGCTGCTTCTTAAAGTAATACAGCATCTACTTCCTGTGATTAGGAAGTGTGATGTATCCATGTCTTTGTTATCTTCATCCACATCTTTACCGTCATACAGCCATTTCACTGTGTGTTCACATTGTCCAGGTGTCGACACAGAGCAGGTTAACGTCACAGTTCTCTGTAACACTAAGTCTGTCTGATTTAGCTTCGGCGTTTACGATAGTCTGACCATATTTAACTGCTGCTGTGTTTCCTGAATCCCTGAATGCCCATGTAGCATCAACACATTCTTGCTGACTAACATTTTCACAAGGCAAAGTGACGTCATCTCCAACTCTGACACTGAAGGAGGGGGGAGGTGTTTCAGCTGCTGCTGTTGAGAAAATGATGAAAAATAAAGTGAAATAAGAAAGTGTTCACAGGTCGAGATGAATATTTCTTTATCCTTAGTTTCCAAGTTCACTAAAGTCACTATGTAGAAAGCAGACAACAGATTTAGTTTTCTTAGTTAAAATTTAGCTAATAAAGTACCTTTAGCAATAATGTTCATTTATATATGTATATATGTATTCTTACCTGTAAACTGAATCACCGCTGTAAGAAATAATCCATTTAAACTAAACAATTGTGATTCTCTTGTTCTCGTGCTCAGAGCTGTCCGAGTTTCTAATATAGCACTTTAGTATAGAGAGACGCTGCTCCTTCCTGTGATTAAGATGACCTCCTCATTTTGACTGTTAGACTGTTTTCGTCTCTTTGAATTTCTTCTTATCCTTTCACAGTGTATTTGTCACAATGACACGTTTCACCTCCTGAAAAGAAAAAGAGGAAGAAGTTGAAGGTGTGAAGATCGTTTGTTAAGATAAATGTTTGCAATAATGCAACTTGATGTTTAACAGCACACATGAACAGACAGGTGAAGGAAAACAATATGGTGATACTGTAGCAGTATGAAAAGGCAGTGGTGAATGACCTGAGAAAGTGATTCAAGAGAAAGTCAAAACAATAAGGGGGATTAAACATACTATCTGCTAGAACTCTGACATTTAGATTTATATATAACAGCATTATCATGGAAATATTGCCAGGTTCAAAACCAGTGTCTTCTAAATCCTGTCAAAGATGTTGCCACTGTAGATGATCTAATGCTTTTCTAGTAATGAAAAAGCACATGGTGTGAAAAACCGGCTGCAGTGGAATAGGATCAGTGACTAAACTGAGTGTTGGAAAATAAGCAGAGAAGAAGAAGAATTACCTGATTCTGCATTTTAAAACAAAATTTCAGCCACTTTGATCAGTTCTGCAAATACTACTTTAAACCAACATAGTGCTATATCAAGCAAACCAGATAAAAACTAGAGTGGTGTACACTGTCTTCTGTCCCACGTGCATTTCTGATGACGTGTTTGACCTCCTGAACAAAAGAAGCGCACTGAGGAAGTTGAATGTGTGAAGATTGTAAGTAAAGACAAATGTTTGCAACAACGTAGCAACTATTGTGTTCTGTAGACTGTGTTTATTGTGTGTTGTGATGTGTGTTTATTAATCAGCACACCATGTCCACTAACCAAAACCACAATACACTTCCTTTCCACTATTTCACGATTAAAGTTCTTCCTGTTTACAGCCATGATCTCATCTTTTAATGCTTTTTAAAGATTCTGTGGCACACGCTATCAACATCTTAAGACCTAACACTCATTAGAAATTAAACCAGGTTAACCATTGAGCTGGTATAAATTTCACACCCTCTTTAACAAAATATTTAATACTGTTATGGTCATTGCCGTTAGTTTCTTGTGGTCTAGATTTCTCACATTTTTGATAGACTCCTGCCGTCTCTCTCCTGTGATTGGTCTGCATCACAGTTGATCCGTCCATCCGAGACCTCCTCCACTGTGCTTCTTCAATACTGAGAAATAGTTGCTGTCTAGTTGACCTTGCTGTAAGCTTCAGATTGCAAATGTTGTGAAATGGCACTCGCTTAGCAGTTTTGGGACTGGGAAGGGATTAGTCTAAATATTTTTAGTATGAACTGAGAAGCCACCCAGTGTAGCTTAGTTTTTTCATTTACCCACAAATCCAAACCTAAACACTTGGTGTCCATTACGGTATTTAGTTATTAAGGTTCTTCCTGTTTATCACCATGACATCATCATATAATGCTTTTGAACATATGAAAAAATATTAATGACACCTTGAATTTGACAGACAGGGTAGCTTCCTTACAAGCCACTTACCGACTCGCTGCTACTTTACTGCAGTGCTAGGGAGGTGATTCATTGAATGAGTTCCTGTCATGGTTTTCTGTTTGCTTTAAGTTGGCATCTTTGAGCAATAAGAAAACAAGTACAAATAGCTACTATTTGCACTTGGTTATTTCTGTTTGCGAGGTGTCGCTGAGTGGAAGTGTTGTGGTCAAGACTGACTCTGATATCATCATCTAATTTTGTTTACATGTTCAGAACGGAAAACCTTAAAACTTAAATAGGTGTCACACTACTCAGACCAGTTCATCAGAAACAGATCAGACAATGACATCAAGTTAAAGCTAATTTGGATCAAACTGAGGTCCCTGTAGTGGCAAGACTCTTGGCTGCCTCTTCCTCGTTGCTCTGTTTCTGCAAACTATTGTTAGAGATCACCAGTCAATCGAGCGGTATGCTGCCACAGACCTTTCACACTCTATAAATGTTGTTGATGATATAAATGATGTCATTTCAAGGTGAATAAACAGGATTGAGCACTCATAGTCATCATTTTAATCAGGGGAGTTTCCAGCTTGTAGACTGGAGCCTGAGCCATTGAAGTGATCGGGTCAGTGAGACCACAGCAGTGTATCTACAAGAAAATCCACCTTCCATTATGAAATCCGTTGATGAGGAAATTACAAAACAAAGTTTATTGCTAAATATGTGTTTTTATTTGCACGTTATATGAGTTACAATGAAGTGAAGAGATCATTAAAGCACAGTATGACTAATTAATAAAAATGTATTGGACTCTCAACAAACAGGCGTGTGCACATAACAGCAGACAGCACGCAGACACTGTGTGTGCCTTTGGAAATTTTAAATGACAAGTGGGATCCTAGACCACTTCTACTTCCTTCTCCTTCAAAAGCTGAACAATAATAAAAAAAAAAACACATTTATGAAGCCAGAAGGAGTGAGGCGGCAGGAAGAAAACAACACACATGCTGTACAGTGGTGACATAGGCCGCTGTGTTCTCTTCATGGCTTTTATCTTCTACAGTGGCCTTCCAGTGAATTGCTGTAGATTGGTCAACAGCTCCCTCTACAGGGTCAAAAAGAAATGGCAACTTCTGTACAGATGAGAGAGCCACTCGCTGGAGTATTTACACATTAATTAATAACTAGATGCAGACAGTGTTCACTGCAGAGGACACAGCACACTAGTTGCCACACAGACCATGCTGGGAGCTTTATATTAAAGCTATGCAAATATGTTGCTGGTCTCAATATGTGCTCAATTTGTTATCCTGCAGTTCTGGAATTGGGTTTTGATCAATCTCTCATTTCAGATCAACAGAAATTTGCTGCGCCTACTAAGGTCAGAGTTCAAGACAGAGTTCAACAGAACTTTCAGCACACCTCAGCTTAGCAGGTGTGCTGGGCAGAGCTGTCGCAAGACACCACATAACAATGGAAGAGGTGCATTAAAAAGATGCTTTACCATGAAAATGCAAATACACCTTTAGGGTTATTTGTGCTCACATATGTGAGTAGAAAACAGAGTTTGCAAAAGTATGAAGTAATTTCTGTGAGAGACTTGACAATATTACAAAATGAAACATTGTCAGGTTAAAGCGCTTGCCGCTAGCTGGTGTCTGTAATTCAATTCAATTTTATTTATATAGCGCCAAATCACAACAACAGTTATCTCACAGCGCTTTTCATAAAAGAGCAGGTCTAGACCGTACTCTGTGATGTTATTTACAGAAGCCCAACAGTTCCCACCAAGAGCAAGCACTAGGCGACAGAGGCAAGGAAAAACTTCCTTTTAAGAGGCAGAAACCTCGAGCAGAACCATGGCTCAGGGTGGGCGGCCATCTGCCTCGACCGGTTGGGGTGAGAGAGAGAGAGAGAGAGAGAGATGTAAGGAGAGACTTGACTTTTTAAAACCACTTTAATAAAACATCACTGATTCACAAACATAGCAACACTCAATAAGTCAGAGAATCAAAACCGGTTGACATTTAGAAAAAAGAAAAACCTTCCACACGAATAAAAACATCAAATTAGCTAAAAACACGACTAAAACTGACTTCTTCATCCACCACAGAACAGATGACATCATCATAACACCACTGACGTACAAACACATCCAAGCTGTTCATCAGCTGATGGAACTTAAAATCCACTAAGACTCTGGCTTTGACCAGAGAGGTGAACACAGGGACTACGTCTCCACACAGCCGTCCTTCCACCTGCTTCTTCCTACTCAAGTATATGGACAGTTTGGCTTCTCCTAAAATAAAATTTAACAGTTGCCACTTTGTTGCATTGGTCTTCCTGTAGCCTGCTCCAAAAACAAAAGCAGTGTTAGACCACACTTCATTAAAAGAAGAAAACAAGCACCCCAACACATTGAACAGTTCCCCCAGTCTGCTGCACTCTAAAAAACAGTGAACAACAGTTTCCAGCAGCCCACAGAAAGGACAGCCGTCAGAGACAGAGGGATTAATCACAGAGATAAAAGAATTCACTGCAACAGCCCCATGTAATATTCTCCACTGTAAGTCACCTGTACGCTTCTTTAAAGGAAGTTTGTAAAAGACTCTCCAGGTGGGCCTCACAGCGTTACTAACCCCCAGTTTCTCCCTCCACACCGTGTCACTTCTACCATTTAACTTGTTTTTACACAACACCTTCACACAACACCTGTAAATCATTTTACCCGTCACCGTGTGCAGATCTGGGACCTTCTGATGCCTGACATCCAACAATAGACTAGAACAACAGTCGAGGTCGGGTACCAGTCCCAACTCTGGAAAAGGGTCCTCTTCGTCCGGAGCTTCCTCACCTTTCCAGTACATCCTCAACAGCTCATTATCCGCTGCTGTTAGTTTGTTAGTCCAACCATTCAGAATGTTCCTCACGTGACGCACAGATTTTAGTCCAATTAGTGCAGCCACAGCCTCAGTGTTCATAAAACCAGGTCCAGCTACATCCACTATCCATCTGAGAGTTGTAGCGCCAGCAGAACGGAGCGTGTGATGGAGGCCTGGTGTACCACTGTCCTGTATGTCCATTGTGGATCCACCGATCAGAGGCTCGTTCAGTAACCAGTACAGGGAGACTGACGGCTCCAACCGTCTCTTCTTAAAAAGGTGCCAGGCCTTAAAAACTCCCTTATAAAAATCAGGCAATACAGACAAATTTAAATAACCAACATCCATTAAAAACAAAGCAGTGTCAAGTCCTAACCTGTCTGCTCTCCTTAAAATGCTGCTTGCAAACTCTTTCCACACTGGGTATTTAAAACCAGTCAGATATCTTTGTGCAAATTGAAATCGAAAAGTTGCCACTCTGCTTGCTAGGTGTACCAGGCCTTGCCCCCCTTCTTCTTTTGGTTAAAAAAGCACACTCTGAGGTACCCAGTGTAACCTGTCCCAAAAAAAGTCCACTAAAACTGCTTGTAGTTTTGAGAGTAAGCCAGCAGGTGGCTCCATACAAGCTAAACGATGCCACAGTGCTGAAGCTACAAGGTTGTTGATTACTAGAGTTCTTCCTCTAAAGGACATCTGAGCAAGCAGCCATTTCCACTTTTTCAACCTTCCTTTCATCGTCTCTATCATGCCCTCCCAGTTTCTTTTCACCATTTCTTCTTTGCCAAGATAAACACCTAGATACTTTATACCATCATTCCTCCATCCCAACCCCCCCGGCAGGACCGGAAGACCACCAACCCAGTTTCCCACTGCTAGAGCTTCACTTTTTGTCCAATTCACTTTAGCAGCAGAGATAAGACCAAACTCAGACACAATATTTCCAACAATATTAATTTCAGCTTGATTTCTGACCAGGAGCATGACATCATCAGCATAAGCAGATAAAACGTGTGGTGTGTTAAAACCTGGTAAAACCAAACCATGAATACAGGACCGGATTCTGTGTAACAAGGGCTCAATGGACAATGTATACAGCATCCCAGACAGAGGACAGCCCTGTCTGACACCCCTGCCTACTGTGAAGGGAGCACTCAGACCCCCGTTAACCTTCAGCACACTCTGAATGTCTCTGTACAAAACTTTTATCATAGCAATGAGACGTGGGCTGAGACCAAAACGCTCCAGAACTTTCCAAAGATAAAGGTGCTCAACCCTGTCAAATGCTTTTTCTTGGTCTAACGAAATGAGACCAAGGTCAGTGCCCAAAGAACTAGAGACATCCAAAACATCCCTGATTAATGACACGTTGTCTGTGATGGACCTACCAGGCACACAGTACGACTGATCCAGGTGAATGATTTCCTCCATCACCTGCTTCAACCGGTTAGCCAGAGCCTTGGACAAGATCTTGTAGTCCGAACAGAGGAGGGAGACTGGGCGCCACTTTCTGACGTCCTGAAGGTCTCCTTTCTTCGGCAGCAGGGTTATCACAGCTCTCCTGCAGCTCAGAGGCAGGGTCTGATTTTCAAAACTTTCATTGAACACATCTAACAAGTCCTGACCAAGCTCTTTCCAGAAGGTCTTGTAGAACTCGACAGGAAGACCGTCAATACCTGGGGCCTTCCCTCCATCCATCCCCTGCAGGGCAGCATGCAGCTCTTCCAAAACCAGAGGCTCCTCCAGCTCAGGATGGTCATCTCCAGAGATTCTAGGCAGGCCTTCACTGAAACACTCAAACAGCTGTTCATGCTCCACATGCTGCGCTTTATACAGCTCAGAGTAAAACTGCACCACCCGTCTCCGGATCTCATGAGGCTCCGTGAGTTCTTCCCCATCAGCTGACTGTAGTGTGTGGATGTACCTGCTCTGCCCATTTGTCTTTTCTAAGCCAAAGAAAAACTTGGACGGAGCGTCCATCTGGTTGATGCTCTGGAAACGTGAACGAACCAGTGCTCCCTGGGCTTTGGTGCCCAGCAGGTCTGCTAACAAAGCTTTTTTAGATTTGAGGGCTTCAAAATGCTTGATTTCCTGTGGACTCAATCAAGCCTAAAAGTTCCACTATCTCAGTCTCTAGAGTCGTCATTGATCTAGTAATGTCCCTCATGACATTCAGAGTGTACTGTAGACAGAGCTGTTTGATTTTAATCTTCCCACAGTCCCACCATTGTCTTAAAGAAACAAAACTGTTCCTTTCAGCCCTATGCACCTTCCAGAAATAAACCACAACATCTTTGAAATTAGCATCACTGAGTAAATTGGTGTTAAAATGCCAGTATGCACTCCGTTTTTCAGTTTTTGCAATAAAAGCACTGCAGACCACTAAAAAATGATCACTAAAATGTACAGGTAAAATACTACATGACTTAAAAACACTAAAATGATGCTTAAAACAATAAAACCTGTCCAGTCGAGCCAAAGAAATAAAATTTTCTCTTGTATGCACCCAGGTGTACTGTCGGTCTTCAGTGTGCAACCTCCTCCAAACGTCCACCAAATCATGTGTTTTTATTACTCATTAATTGCCTTTTTCGAAGCAGCATGAGGTTCAACATGATTCCTGTCCAAAGAATCATTCTGAGTACAATTAAAATCTCCCCCTAAAAACAAAAAATCATCTGAACCAAAACTAGTCAGAGTGTCACTGAGAGTATTAATAAAACGGACTCTGTCTGAGCCGACATTTGGAGCATAAACATTAATGAATGTGAGAGTGAAACACTCAAACTTGGCTCTGACCATCATCAGCCTTCCTTCTATCACTTCTTTAAGTTCATAAGAAATCGGCAGAAACTTTTTAGAGAAAAGGACGGCTACCCCCCCGCTCACTGAGGTCAAGGAAGCTTAACACGACCTCGCCGTCCCATTCTGATCTCCAGTCAGTTTCACTGGACCTGTCGCTGTGTGTTTCCTGGACAAACATCACATCAACACTTTTCAGCTTCATCAGCTCATATAGCTGCATCCTTTTTCTGATGTCCGCAGCGCCATTTAAATTCAATGAAGCAACTTTAAAATCACTCATTGAAAAAATAAAAAACAACCAGCCAGCACACACAGACTGAGAAAAAGAAAACCTTTAGTTTGATTCCTCTCCATCTTCTTCATTAAGTTCATGTCTGATCTTCACCACTATTTTCCTCAACCTGTAAACCTCCTGCTCAGTTAAACCCTCTCTTCCTTTGGCCCTCAGCTGTGACTTGACTGAGTTAAGAAAAGCCTCTTTGTCTGGAAAGAAACTTTCAACTTTTACCCCTTTTACGTTCTTTGTTTTCTGTAGAAACAGTTTGATTTTCTCAACCCCATAAATCTGTTCGTTCAGCTCTCCTGGTGTTATTTTGTTCAGTGAGACATCACTCTCACTGTCTGCATCAAAACGGCCTTCCACACTGGAGTCATACTCCGCCATCGACTCCTTCACACTCTGCTTCTGTTTGTCTTTGCTGACAGTAACCTTCTTTGCTTTTGAGCCTTTACTGTCGATTTCAGATTTTCTTTCTGAGTGATTGTCAGGCTGCTCTCCTCACCAACCATGTCTATATCTGCACTTCCTGCCAAAATCTCCTCTGGCCCAGCTGTCTTACTATTTTGCGTCTCATCCTCCTCCTCCTCCTCCTCATCTTCATCCTCCCCATTTTCCTCCTCCTCATTATTTTCAATATCAGCACCCACAGTCTCACAGCTCTGTTGAGACTCACCTGCCTTGTTTCCCTCATCACTGATGCTTTGACAGTTTGATGTGTCCTTTTCTCTGCAGCTAACAGTTTGATTTCCTCCCTCCATCTGTTCACCATCACCACTGTTGTCTCCACCTGTTTCCTCCTCCCTGTTCTTCATTTCAGCTCTGCCTCTTTGCTCCTTGTCACTTATTCTTCCCTTTTTTCCAGCTTCCTTCTGCCCTGATGTTCCCTCTCCAGCAGTCTGACCAGATTCAGTACCAGCAGGTTTTTCTGGACACACTCGGATCACATGACCCTCCTTTCCACAGCCGAAACACTTCATAACGTCTGACGTGGCAAACAGAACATAATCAAACCCATCAATTTTCAGCCGAAAAGACAAGTTCAGCTCTTCATTGCTGTTATTCAGGATCATGAATAACTGTCTCCTGTGAGACACCACATGCTGGAGCAAAGGAGACTTACACCCAGACAGGGCTTTTTTAATAGGGGACACTATTTTTCCATGCCTGGAGAGTTCTCTCTCCAGCACTTCATCTCTGATGAACGGGGGGACGTTAGACAAAATCACCCTTCTGGCCGGTGAGGCCAGAGGCAGCACTGGTACGAAGGTTTCATTCACCACAATACCGCTTGTGATGGCGGCGTTAGCTTTTTCTACTTCGTCCACAAAGATCACCACCGCCCCGTTCATCCTGGCCGCAGATCTGACACTGCCGGCCCCGACAACCTCCGCCACCGCTAACGCACACTCCTCTACGGAGCAGCGGAAACCCGGACAGATCTTAAGTCCGTGTTTCCTCGTCAGCCTGGAGAACTCCATGCTGCCGAGCAGCGAAACGCTGCCCGACACAAAATACACGACAACAAACAAACACACACACCTGACAACAACAACTAACCTTAGAACTACACACAGTAACACATTAAACCGACATGAAACAAGAAAAAGTTTAGAAAAACACTCACTCGCTCCGCGAACTCACACTCACTCCACACTCACGCATCCACTCAGAGAGAGAGAGAGAGAGAGAGAGATGTAAGGAGAGAGAGAGAGATGTAAGGAGAGAGAGATGTAAGGAGAGAGAGATGTAAGGAGAGAGATGTAAGGAGAGAGAGAGGGGAGGGAGGCAGCCTACACAATATACACACAGAGGTACACACAGTGAAGGTAATGTTGCTATAGACTAAATGAAAAATGGTACAGATATTTATAGTAGTGTTAATGGTAACCATCGTAATGTTAATGATTATAATAACAATAATAACAATAAGACTAGCAAAAATAGTCGTTGCAGCAGAGGGTGTCGTGCAGGAACACGGGGGCAGCAGGTGACCCGCAGCCACAGCTCCAGACTCCACAGCTCCAGAGCCAGAAAACCTGCAGGAAGTGATAGGAGAGAGGAGAGAGACGAGAAAGCACAAGACTACCAGAAAGGGGAGAAGTTGTGTTAGTAACATGCAATAATGGGATAAGGTTACATACAGAGGGAGAGAAAGTAGAGGAGAGAGGAGCTCAGTGCATCATGGGAAATCCCCCGGCAGTCTAGGCCTATAGCAGCATAACTAAGGGATGGTTCAGGACTCACCTGAGCCAGCCCTAACTATAAGCTTTATCAAAGAGGAAAGTCTTAAGCCTACTCTTAAATGTGGAGATGGTGTCTGCCTCCTGAACCCAAACTGGAACCTGGTTCCACAGGAGAGGAGCTTGATAGCTGAACGCTCTGGCTCCTAGTCTACTTTTGGAGACTCTAGGAACCACAAGTAACCCTGCATTCTGGGAGCGCAGTGCTCTGGTGGGGTAGTAAGGTACTATGAGCTCTTTAAGATAAGATGGTGCCTGACCATTAAGAGCTTTGTAGGTAAGAAGAATGATTTTAAATTCTATTCTGGATTTTACTGGAAGCCAATGCAGAGAAGCTAAAACAGGAGAAATGTGATCTCTTTTCCTGGTTCCTGTCAGAACACGTGCTGCAGCATTCTGGAGTCTTAATGGACTTTTTCGAGCAGCCTGATAATAAGGTACTTGTACTTGTACTTGTACTGTACTTGGCCAAACATTTCAATACAAGCCAACATAAACACATTCTGATCAGTGGACAGAGACATAACTGTCTCCCGGGTTTTCATAGTTAGGTGCACCATCATCTTCTTCATTGTGCACCTGTGAAAAAAAGTAAGGAGAGAGTCAGCAGCTGGAGAGTTTCATCTAAGGGTTTTTATTGCTTTGCTCAATGAAGCTTTAGTGAAAGACATCAGAGCAGATTAGAACATTACCCCTTTATTTTGTTGCCGGACAGCTTTACTTATACCAAAGCATGTAGTTCACACAGGGTTTAAAATGTGGCAACAACAGGAAGTTGATTTTTTTATCTTTGTGTTTTGTCAATATTAATAAAGAGAGAGCTGCAAGCAAATTCAACCGAAAGTTTCCAGTTGAATTTACTACACATTTACAGCTGATGATTTTCTTGTTGAACTGACTCTTTAATCTTAAATACTGCATAATAAAATAAAGTACAGATGACCCTATGCTGTTCTGACAACCTTACATTTGCACATTCTCTAACTCTGTCCACTTCTCCTTTAGATTTTAATGTATTCACATATACTGTATAGTATTTGTATATTATAATGCCACTGTACGTATTGTATGATAAATACTTCCTGCAATTATCTATATAAAACACTAGCCCTTATGTCTGCACTTCGGGTAAGATGCATTTCATTGGCTCTGTAACCGTACTCTGCATAATAACAATAAAGTTGAATCTAATCAAATCTAATCCAATCATGTTCAGTTTTTGTTGATATGATGTCAGAGAGATTTTAATTTAACTCTATGGTGACTTGGGAGAATGCAACTTGTGTTGTCATTGTGGTGTGTTAATTTCTCATTCAGCTTCTTCTAATGAGCAATGAGGTCCGACATCAAAATATATGTAGTTTTATTTTTTCTTTTGTGCAAGAGGTTGTAACAGTTCACTATCATTCAAATCTATTAAACCACACCGACATAGGCCTTAGGACAGGCTGGGGCTAGCAGGTTAGCATGCTCATTTCAGTACTTCTGCAACATAGTACATCATACATCTTTGACATAACGTCAGAGCTGTTACATCATATTGATCATATGATGTTGCTCACATTCTTTTTTTTTGTTTCCTATAACTATAACTAACTATAATTCTGGCCATATCTTACACATTGCCCCTTCAAGTAGTTGTGAAGAACAAATATCACAAAAGATACCTTTTAAAATCATCATTGTAAAATAAGTATGATTCAGTCTTTACACTTACAGTGTTTTCATTTGTCTGTGTTGTGTTCCCTGACAAAAAGCGTAGCAAAAGACAAAGACTCTACTTTAGCTTCCACAAGTAAAATCCACATTTATCAAATCTTTTATTTATAAAAGTTTCAGTTGTGAATTTTCTCACGTTTAGTTCTCGTCCACATGTTGACAGCCACAACAGCTGTTAAGAGTGCTGCTAAACCCACAGACAAAATTACTAACCTCCACCAACCTGGAAGATATTAAAAACATTTTAGACGCAGCTTTCTGTTATGTTTTAAATCCTGGAATCAGAATCTTAAATGTTCACACCTTGTGATTTTGTTGTATCGTTTGCAGATGTAGAATAACTATTTTCATCTGTTCTCACTGTTGTATCATCACCTGAGAAATACGGTAACAAAAGGCAACAACGCATCAACTGTCTGCAGTAACTAAATGAAGAAGAAAGATAGATAAAGATGAATTAAATTAATCCATCCAATGTAGATTTAAAACAATATTTTAGATTCTCACCTGACGACTGATGGCTGAAGGTAAACTGCAGCACTTTTCCAGTGTAAATATCAGTCGCTTCACACACAAACGATTCATACCTTGACGTGTAAATGTAATGCGAAGTCTTAAAGTGCACACTTGCCAAGCAGTCAGTCTGTGATATGCTGACATCTTTTATATCCACATCTTTACCGTTAAACAGCCAATTCACTCTCTGTGAACACCATGCGTATGTCGACACAGAGCAGGAGAGTAACACCTTTTCATGATCCCTATATTCATCCACTGGTGGATATATTGTATGAGAGACAACAAGATAAACTTCATCACTGTAATCATGGTATTGTAATGTTTATGTCATATTGTTCTAACAAGACAATTTGAGCTGAAAAAATTATGATGTAAATACTCACAGTGAAGAACAGACAGATAGACACGAGCATCTTGACCTTGTTGTTCTCCTGATCTGTTTAACTGTCTGCAGCTGTAACGGCCAACATCCTCAACTGTGACCTTCTTTATCACCAGGGAACAGTTCGCTGTAACACTCAGTTTGTCTGGTTTAGTCATGGCGGTTTCTCCAATTTGCCCACGTGCAACCAGCTCCACTGATGGTGTGTTTCCTGCACCACTGACGAGCCAATTTGTATATTCACAGTCATTCTGGTTGTATCTCACATTTTCACAAGGTATAGTGACATCATCTCCATCTCTGACAACGACGGGAGAGTATTGTCCAGTCACTGCTGTGAAATAAATGAAAGGGAACATGTCACAAAAATAAACAATTGTATTTTGTTAAATAGAGGTTTAACCAAATGTCTTCATGGCTTCTGTTAGAATGAATGCTGTGTAATATTTTCATATATTGTCCTACCTGTCAAATGAAGCAACACCAGAAATAGTGACATTTTAACCCATCTGAAACTGGACATTCTGCTCTCTCTCTATGTCAGTATCTCATGAACTAATGGTTCCTCAGATAGATTGATTTCCCTTTTTTTGATGAAATTGAGGTGTTCCTTCTTCCTGCCTCCTTAACTTGTATTTTATGTTTCTGTCACTATTTCTGTCATTTGTGGCCATTTATACCTTCTTTCAACTAGTCTGTTATCAACTATGCGTTTTGCTTTATTAACCAAAATGGGCTGTCAGCCAAGCTGTGTGTGTGCGGTTATGCAGGAAAGCTAAACCAGTCTCCATGGCAGAACAAAGAGACATGCACACGTGCCAGATATTACTGAGATTTTGAGAAAATATGGAAAATACCTTCTCTATTTCATGTTTGGTGGCCATGTCAATATAACAACAGATGAAGGTAGGCTAGGAAGCTACCAAGAATGGTATGTTACAATGATCTTATCTACCTTCATGTAGGTATAAAAATCAATAAATAAAATAATTGTAGGTGTATTGCTAAACTTGAAATAATCAACATGCAAAGTATAATACATTCCCTAGAAATACCCATGTGCAACACAACAATAAGATATATTGGTGTGTCAGCGGTTAGTGAGCTGTCAGTTCCTTAATGTTCTTGACCTTCTGTTCTTTTACATTATGTTGAAAGATGCACAGGAAGTTTCCTTGCAGTAAGGTCCTGTCATTTCCTTTTTTTTGTTCCGCCTTCTAAAGAAGTCTTTTCATTTCTTTTGCGGTTATGTAACACATATCCCATAACTCAACTCAAGTTGAGAACTATCGACCAGTGTCTCTTCTACCTTTTTTATCCAAAACTATTGAATGGGCAGTATTCAAACAGGTCTCAGAATTCCTCTTAGGGAATGACCTCCCACTCTAGTGCCCACTCTACTGAAACAGCTTCTGTCTGTAACAGAAGCCCTAAGGTCAGCTAAAGCTGCAGCCCAATCCTCGGTTCTTATCATGCTTGACCTATCAGCTGCCTTTGACACAGTCAATCAGAGGATCCTGCTATCCGCTCTCTCAGCAATGGGCATCTCGAGTAAAGCACTCCTGTGGTCCAGGCAAACCCACCGTCTCGGTGCAGATCACGGACTGTCTATCGGACATATCTGCATGGATGAAGGCTTGCCACCTTCAACTAAACCTCTCTAAGACTGAACTCTTGGTCATTCCAGCCAAGCAATCTACCCACCATAACATCAAACTACAAATTGACTCCGCAACCATCACTCCAACCAAGGTGGTGAGAAACTTGGGTGTCATGATTGATGACCAGCTGTCCTTTTCAGACCATGTTGCTACTGTCTCTCGGTCATGCCGCTTTTCTCTATACAACATAAGGAAAATCAGGCCCTACCTCACTCAGCATGCCAAGCAGCTTCTGGTACAGGCCATGGTTATCTCTCGCCTCGACTATTAGTGCCCTCCTAGCAGGTCTTCCAGCTTGTGCAGTGAAACCCTTACAAATGGTTCAGAATGCAGTAGTGCATCTGGTTTTTGATCAGCCCAAAAGGACTCATGTCACTCCATTTCTCAGTGACCTCCACTGGCTCTAACACCTCTAACATGCACTTCCTGTGCTCTTCTTCTTCTATCCCCTACAATTATCTTGTATTGATTGCACTTTTTGTTTTGATTGCACTTTTTGTTAACTCTTACTTCCTTCCCTTGGTATTTACCCCATTGATGTGATATGTACTATGAGCTCTTACTAGTATTTATTGCTGCTCTTACTAGTATGTATTGTCAGTTGTAGATCTGTATTTGATGCTCTGTTGATGCTTGTATGTTGTATAAAAGCGTCTGCCAAATGAGTAAATGTAATGTAAATGGAACCACCACATCCATGATTTAATTATCAGCCATGAACCTACTGTTCTTAGCATTTCTAATAAATCTACAGTCTGCAGTCATGTTAGCAGCTCTGAAAACTTGACCTGCAGTTGGCGTAAATCCAATAATTCTTGAGCTGTATTTCAGTCTGGACCAAAGAGGTGGAAGAAACCAACTCTGGTCCAAACTAAAATATCAACTAGATGGATTGGCACAAAGGTTTGTACAGACATTCATGGTGTCCTGACGATTAATTTTGTGATGTAATTTAAGTTCCCTTGAACACGGATGTGCTGTTGCAAATAAATTGTATAGAAATGTAATTTCTTCGAGACACGGCTGACAAAACACACATTAAAGTATCTGCTGGTAAAGCCAAACTACAGTGTGCGTGTGTTGATGATAATGAAGACACGTGTCACCCAGTGCAACAGTGTGGCTCATTGATGTGTTCATGCATCAGTAATCAGCCAAGCTCCCCCTGGCTCCCATTGCACCTGGATTGTTGATCTGTACTCTGAGAAAAGAGCAGGAAGCATTTTTGATCACAAAAATTCCTGTATTATTCCTGGAATACACTGGACAGCATGCTAATAAGACAGATAATGTTAAGATCAACAAAGGCCTTTTAGGTAGATATGATTCAGAAGCTGCTTGGGAGTAGATCACCCCTACAACACAGACATCCAGTCATTGTTGATGTCTATGCCAAAATTACATAGAGGCACAATCTGGATATGTTTATTTTAAGATTAGTGCATTCCCAGGCCCTAGATGGCTCAAGACCAAGTGCACTAAATGTGGAAAAAAATTGCTGCTGTTTCCATCTTTGCTGTGTCTGTTTATGGGTGTTTATCTCGTTTTGAAAATACAGCATGCACTTGTCAGCCTATAGAAAGGAAAGTCTTATTGGCACAATAAGTATTTCACCACTCTCTTTTATTCAACAGGGTGCAAAAGTTTAATATGTGATTGGTTAGTGTTGAAGTTAGGAATCATCTTAAAGGCTTGAGTGTGCATTGAATATACTAGCTCATAAAAATATGGGTATACATGTGCTTTATGGACACACTCAAAGGCAAAACGCCTGTCATCATAGAGACAGGTGAGACGTGATGATTCGTACAAACTGGGATGATATACATTATAAATCCTGCATTGTTTGCATCTAGACCACCACCAACTGTTAAACTAGCGTGAAACCAGAGGAAGGAGCCTGTGTGAGCATATACAATTATTCTTCACATTTGTTTCCAGACTGCCTGAAAATATGTTAAGAGCTGATTCACCTGATAGGCAAAGCAAGCAACTGCCCCAGGGTCCCAGACCTTCAGGGGGCCCAAAGGCAAAGATGGCAGCTAGTTTGTGGTAATGTAATTAATTGCTCAGTATAGGGTTTATATTGTATACAATCTTGAAGCACATTTTATACATAAATGGTAAAGAAGCAGCTAGCCCGGCTCTGTCCACAGGCAACAAAATTCACCTATCAGCACCTAAAACAGTATAAAAATGAAAATTCACAAATGAACACCTATCTTGTTTGTTTAATCTGCACAAAAACCAAAACGGAGAAATGAAAAATCATCATTTTACAAGGGTTCTGTGCCAGACTGCTTCACTGTCAGTGCCAGTAACTTCCCAAAATGTCAAAACGTTTCCTTTGACGCTTTTAACACAAAACTATTTTATATATTATGTGGGGCATTTTAATAAATAAATGTGTGCTGTCACGGGCCGACTCAAAAACCCTGACGTGAATAATCACAATGCGATAACCAGCAGTATAAAAGGTACCGTTACTTTTATTTTACAATAACTCAAACGTTTAATTAACAAAACATAACTAAGCAAATAATGCAGTGTAGTATGGTAATCAGCTAATCAGTAGTTATGGATGAAATGATGAGTGTGGTGTAGTGTTAACAAAGAAAGCAAAAAGAATGGGGAGCGTAGAGGACAGGGAACTGCGTTTCCCTCCTCTCTATTTCCTCAGTGCCACAGGCATTATATGGAGAACACAGGGCCCCAGGTGGCTCCAGTAGATGTTGATGACAACCCCGCCTACTGACACCTATCCACAGAACACACATGTGAATATTTAGCAGCCTAACAGAGACGAGGGCGTCCTGGGTCACAGTGGATAATAAAGTTACCATAAACTAATAACTAGCTAATGAATTCACAATACACACAGAGTGGAGGTTAAAGGTGGCCCATAGCTCATTTTTGAGGATCTGTTTTGTCTTATTGCAGCTTTTAGGGATCTTACTATGTTTAGTTTAGTCAAATATTTAGAAAAGGGAAAAGTAACATATGGTGATTTGTCACATTTATTTGCTTTTACACCAACAACTGGAGACACAGAGAGGGCATCTCAGTTTATGTTTAATTTTTGGTCTAAAAATGAAAAAAAACAAGCTATATTTACATGTATTATGTATTATTCTTCTTAATTCCACACAACAGGGCACCTTATGTCTACTCTCGTGGTATCTTGTTGCCAAGAATGTACAGTGCAGCTCTCTTGGGAGCTGCAGAGCTTCACTTAACATTCCCTGTGAAGAGCAGTGCTGTCAGGCAACGTAACCTAACAACCACACAGAGGAAACAAACACAGCAGAGAGGTGACACTGACGAATGCATGGGAGCCAGCATTGCTAGGATTTAGGATTAATGACGTTTCCAAAATAGAGGCACCTGCAACGACACATATCTGTAGACGGGTTTACGCTCAGTTAAATTAAGGTCACAAATGTAAATGTCTACCTAGCAATAAACTTCATTCTGATTCTTCTTCTTGACCTATAAAAAGATGTTTTGATTGTATTTTAGATTGAAGGCTGTTCTGCCCACCAGATATACATTTTTTTTAATTTTGACATGTTCGTGAAATTTAAAAACGTTAGCAATTATTCGTTAAATAAATTGACATGTCATTCTGTCATTAACAGGACCAAACAACAGCTAGAAGAGTGCACTCAGCAGAGCTCAGATCCCTACTGAGCCTGATATCACCAAATGACGTATGAATAACACATCAATTGTGCCGAGACGGTGTGTCATTTTACAAGTGAATGTCATGTAGAAAACATTTCATGTGATGTAGTACAAAGAGCGATAAAGTCCATGTAAGGCCGAGGTCAGGGTGGAGAGATGGGTCAAACAAACACAGGACATTCACCCAGGAGACTGATGATCTTGTCACATG